TAATTTGTTTTTAGAGAATACCACTAAATCAGATAAAATGGCTTAATCCTGTTTCGATTAATGGGATGAAGGACGAGTAGTTGAATTTTCAACAACCAAATGAATAGACGATGAACGATGTTACTTATTTTAATATAAGTAGTAGACTTTAGGATGCCAATGCCGTCGCCTTTGTTGGAAGGTACTGGTTTCTATCTACCAGCATTACACCGACGACGTCCACTATAGTCATCCTTACGTAGGTCGTGTTTCGCTGAAACCAGATCTTTTTGCCTTGGTGGGAGTTCAGGATTTCTGGCCTGTCTGTGATGGAGGAAATGGCATAGAAAGCTGCGAAAGCATAGCTCCACGATTTGTTGAAGGCTCGATCCCTTCGTAGGAAAGATACGTCGGAAGCATTAGACAACAGGACAATTCGTGATGATCTTTGACTTCCCTTTGTTTCAGTAATTTACGAAACTATCAGAAATTTATAAATCGGAAAATAGGAAATCGAAGACAAAGATGATTTGGCCTTTTGTTTGGTCGCAGTTGTTACCTCTATTTGGTCCCAGGATATAGTAATAGGTATCTATCTATCTCTCCCTTTCTATATATATATATGACTTAAAAGTACTCTGCTTCGAATACAGTCAGAGGGGGAGATGAGACCCCAGCCAAGATGAGAATATCTTGTGCAGGGCAAGGCTTAAGGAGATCGAATGCTGATAACATTTTGCGGGAAACTATGCCATCATGTATCAACTCAACCTTTGAGAAGCCTAGGCAGACTCAGTTTATAATGATTAATTGTGGGTACTTTCGAAGCTGGCCGAAACTAGGATTATCTGCGTACAGCATTGTTGAGTCTAATTCCATTTCGTGTGAAAGTGTTTGGGGAAGAGATTCGAAGGTAGAATTCACCAAAAGCTAACGAGTCAATAAAACTTGGTGGAATTCGGTTGTGACGATGATGCTGTTCGTCATGTGACATACGAAAGCTTAGCATCTTTTCACCAGAATCGAAGGAGATTGCCTCGGAAACAGCGTCAGCATGAATCTTCCAAGAGGAATCTGCCGTTGTCTTCTGGTGAAACCGACCTTTGGAAGTAGGCTCAACAATTATGAAACAAGAGATTCTTCGAAACCCAACTTTTCTTCGCATATATTGCGTGCAGCATGCCGAATCTATTCGCTAAACTAAACGAGCTCGAGTCCTTAGCTTCTGACCAGCTAAGAGGAAAATCCCCTTTGAGGATCATGACTATGTGAAATTCAATGGCCCATGCTTTTCAACCATCACACCTTCATCACCTTTTACGACACAAGTTGACTAAAATTCTTGCTCAAGATCGATTAATGTTCTCGACAGTTGCTAATTATGCATATAAGTAGTATAGTCGATTTTGATGTCAAAATACAAGTTTTGAAGAAAAACCACTTTCCAAGAATTCTGAATAGGTTTATTCTGACTTGGTTTCCATTTCGTAGGAAATGCTGGTAGGAAGAAAGTCGTGAAATTTTCTCACCGGAAAACACAAGAGGAAATCACTGGAATAAAATCGGATAGATTGTGCGTACAAGTCCTCGGTTTACCCTTTTGCGACGTCGATGCACTCTGACAAGCATAATTAGAGCAAGAACCCATACTTCATGAAATAAAGCAAAATTATTCAAAGTTTATATATTAGAGATATTCCCTTGGTTTTGTATATTTTTTGCACCATTTCATAAAGTGTATATTCATGCTCAGATGATGATTGTCACGGCTGTACAGAGTATAAGCGTAGCACAGTTTAATCGGAGGGGTTGCAAGACCTAATTCGCACAATTCTCCAAGGAACTCCTCCTTTGCTTTCTGGTGACACTATCACATACATTGTTTGATACCAACTTATCCTTTGAAATGGAAAGTCGTCACAATAAAATACAAGTTTGCCTCATTGACAATCTTACTATAACTGCCACCTGGAAAATGCCGGGCTCGCCTTGAAAGTCACCTTTGACCCTGGACCGTGTGTAGCGGTACCACGTGGATAACATAATCTTGCACAGCATTGATGAATACCGAGTTAATATCCATTGATAGTCTATAAACCCATTCATAATGAATGCAAGAGCGTCAATTGGCGATGGATTCCCAGTATCCTCTAGAAGACGCTACGTTAGCTTGCCCATGGTCGTCCGACTCACTAACATTAAGTGCATAAGTACAAATTTAATGAAAATAGA